GGACTTGTGGAGGGCATTATCATGGGCTCTAGGTTTTCAGCTGGACTCATGCAGGACATTGAGGTGTGACCCAGGTCCTCTGCTGGATTCTGTAGGTCTTTAGCATGTGGACAGATTTCCTGCACTTTCTTTGTATTTAACACCTTGGATGACTACCATAAATAATACTATAAATTTTGTGTCCTATGTGTAATTGTTTTTCTTGCAATCCCTGACTACAACAAGAGGAATACTGTTTACTCTATTGATTATCAGTAGTCATACTTTTGGGACATGGATTTGTAATTATCAATGTCAAAATCTGAAAGACAAAATGTCTCAAGCACTGAAGACACACTTTGGATAGCTCACTAATCAACTCATGCTTATAGCATCAACTGGTATTTTCATGTTTGTTTGACATAAAGATTCTTCATTTTATAAAGACAATCATGTTTGCAATTTAGGATGGATCTGCTCATATTTCCCATGTCAGGCATGTGATTTCTGTGATGTTTCTACATAGGAAAGCCTGATAAATCTAATTCTAGTCATAAAAGGGGTAACAGTGGGCAAGTGCATTCATACTGACCTCCTGGAATCCTTGTCTTTATTTACATATTTTACAGAACTTTACTCTGACATACATATGAAAGGTGTTCGTTCAAAGGAGAATTTGAAGTTAGCACATGTAACTCCCTGTGCCTCTCTAATTTCTGGCACACAGTAAGCTTAAAGAGGGAATTCTGAGGAAGAGAACTCTCAAGTGGCATCACCCTGCTTCTCCAGTGGTAACTACTCCATTCCACCTCAAGCCTGCATGTCCCAAATAGCAAAATCAAAACTACACGGCTAATCATGCCTACCTAATTAGATGGCACCTAACTGCCTCTCTGGTGTCACTGTTATCTCCTACCCATTGAAAGGCATCTCCTCTCTGTCAAAGTAGTTTCTCAAAGAATTCTTTCCTATATCACAGGGTCTTTTCCATGAAAGTAGTTTTGGCAAATGCAAAAGAACCACCACACTTTCACACACAAACCAGATGGTATTCCAGTCCTCACTCATCAAGCAGAGAGAATAACAACCACACTAAAGAGTTCATAAGGACTAAATGGAAAAGCTGGTTGGCTGAGCATCTAAAAGGAACTGCCTTCGAGGGTATCTGGGTGACTTCCATGTTAGGACTTAGTAACACTGCTTGTCTTGGTGGATGATTTCCTGTGAGCACTTCACACTCAGCCCTTCCTTTAAAATGAGGTCCACCAGATCACAGTAGCAGGGTTTCCTGTTTTGTGTATATCAGCTGTAGAGATGGAGAATGTCAGAGTGCTAGCGCCTTTCAATCCAAGCCTTTCTAGAGTGCTGTGCTGTAATAATGGAAGTCCGACGTAAGCCAGTTCAACAAACGGAGAGAGTTTATTGGCTCATAAGTGAAAAAGGCCCAGAGGTGGGGCTGCTCTCAGAATTTACCCTGCCGCACTTAATGTCCCAAGGATCTGTCCTCAACTCTCTCTTCAGCTTCATGCTGAGAGTGTGTCATGGTCCCCAGGTGGCTGCTGCCAAGATTCAGGGTTACCTGCCGTCTCTTTCATAACCAGCAGAGGCACTAAGTTGCTATTCATAATTTCCAGAATATCATTTCTTTCTCCTTTTTCTCTTCATTATTTCCCTTCTCAGCCCTTCCCAACCCTCCCCATATCTCTCTCTCTCTCTCTCTCTCTCTCTCTCTCTCTCTCTCTCTCTCTCATACTGGGTATTAAACCCAGGATCTTCCCACTGAGCTACATTCCCAGTCCTTAAAAGAATTTCTTTTCTTTGTGATGATGCCTCTTTAAGCTACCCACAATGGGCTCACACTTCTGATTTTTTTGCATCAGCCTCCCAGATTGCTGAGATTTCAGACACCTGCCACTTAACCTGGCCAGCCCCAGAAATCGCGAAATTCTCTCTGCCTGCAGAAACCTAGATCACACAGCCATACTTGGATCAATCACACTGGCCAGAAAGATGGAATATGATGTTGGCTCAGTCTATATCACATGTTCACTCCTGAAAATGGTGAGAGCCCATCTGCCAAGTCATATGAACCCTTAGCAGAAATGAGGAACTGATGGGAAAGGAAATAGGGGAACATGTGTTGGAGATGCAATCAACATTCATCACATCCCTTGCTTTATGGATGAGAGACGGAGACCAGACATGGGAAACGACTGTCCAAGATGATAGCAGAGCTGGGACCACAAGCCAGTCCAAACATACATAAACCCTCCAATGTTCCCACTGTGCATTGCTCCTACCTGATTCAGGCTGGTGCACTCAGCATGATGAACAGTTTGGAACAATCAATTTCTCTGTGGCCCTCATAAACTTCTTTGTAGTCACTGAATTTCAAACACCTTCACCAAGCTTTGAGGTCAAACAAAAAACCAAGCTTGGGCCCCAAGAATTTTTGCAGCCACAAGGATCAAACTCATCTCTTCTTCCTTCCCTTCTGGGGCCTCCTAAGAACCAAATAGCTCTTGGTACTTTTAAGAGAAAAAAACTGCATTCTGATGTGCAAACATGATCGCATATTCATGCACTCAAAATCTAATTTTAGCTGCAAGAGGCTTCATTATAAGATGTTCACATAATTAAGCAGCTTTCTTCCCATGATTTGGGAGCCTGTCTATTCTTCTCTCTCATGTACACATCACTAGGATTATCAGAATGTGTTTTACTTTTTAAAATTATATATTTTGCTGTTTCCAAATTGATCCAAAACAAGAGATAAAATCTGTGAAAGCGACATGTTTTAGCACAGGTTTGTGTAACTCCATTTCCTTGCTATTAAAGTTGGAATCTGTAGACAGGCTTTTGCTGTTCTGTTCTAATTGACTCTCAATTCATTTGTCACACTTCCGTGTTTGAGAGACAGATCAGCGTGTAGTCTGTGTCTGGTCAGAACAGTATCCTCTTTCCTGGGAAGGTGAGAGCTGTAGATGAGATCTAACTTGGAGAGAGTCAAATGGATTTCCTCCAGAGGACAGACAGGCTGTCGTCTTAGTGAGGAGGCAGACCCAGGGTGAAGGGTGCTGAGCACAGCAGTGGCTGTGAACTCTGTGCTGTATGAACTGAAGGTGCCCCTTCTAAAAGGAAATGAAGCCTTGGGCATCTGGCAGCAGTGAATGTACCAACCAACTCCTAGGAGAAACTGGGGCTGTTGCTTGCAGATCCCTGGGGTGGTAAGTGACGTACAGATCATGCCCTGGGTGCAGGCCTGGCATGCCCTTTCTACATGTTTGTCCTTTCCAGCCTCTGTGGTTTCAGCCTTTGCCTCTGATCATCTAGCTCTGGAGAGTGAGTCCAAGCTTTGGGTCTGCTGCAGAAGGAAGCTGCCTCTATGCTCTCTAGCAATCTGATGCCAGGCTTACTGCCTTTTTGAGACTATAGGTGTGCTCTGGGATGTAGACATGCCTGGCTCCCTTCTAAGGCAGCATGGAAACTCCTGTGGGTCTCAGCTGCCCCAGTGTTCAAGGGAAATGGCTTTGTCAGGGACTTTCATGGAAGGATATGTAGCCATCCATCCCAAGACAGTGAACATTTACAAAGACCCTGGTGTTCCCAGCTGTAAGATTCTAAAATAAGTTCTAGAATAGCCTCACACTGGGAAGGACATAGAGCAGGGATACTCACCCCAGTTCCCTGTCTTGGGGGTGCACTTCACTGGGTCCTCCACCTGGCCTGTACTGATGGCAAGGAGCCCTTGGCTTTCATGGGCAGGTCAGGGTGGCAGAACCTGGCCATTCCAAAACCCAGGCTGAGCGGAGGTCCTAGCCAGGCCAGGCCAGGATTTCAGGGTCCTGCTGGGATTAGCTCAAGCTCAGGGGCTGCTCAATTTCAGGGTCATTGACTTCTGCCCTGGTGGGTTATTGTGCAATGAGATCTCTACCATCCTCCCCACATCTTGGCCTTGCTCTCAGATTGCATCCTACCCTTGAACCAGAGCTTCCCAGGCTCAGAGTCTAAGATATGCTGTAAAGCATGACCGAAGTTGGTCATTAGCATCAGCAACGATCCTGGTCTCAGGTTTGCAGGCCACGGCCTGGGCTGAGCACTAAGTGGCTGTAAGGACAGAGTCCCTTCTATGCCCACTGTCTTTTACAAAGTTTGCCCCAGGCTCCGGGGCTTTGTAGTGCTCTCCCTCTCTGCCTTGACTCTTCTCCCCCATCTCCTCTGTGCCAGGATGATCACAGATTCCTTAAGACTTCTTCAGTGTCGAAGGCACTATGCAAATCCCCCCAGGACAGTGGCCAAGGCCCCTCAGAGCCCGCACAGCACACATTGGAGATGAGACATCTCCTGGCCTTCCCTCCCGTACTGGGCCATGAGGCGAGGGGGGAGCAAGGGCTCTGGAATCTGTCTTTTTCCCATGCCTGGCATGCATTGGACCCATGTCTATGTGCCCTTCCCCTAGGGCAGAGGGATGGATGAACAAGTGGGAACAATGTCTCCACACAGAAACAGAGGGTATGGCAGAGGCTGAGCGACAATAGCGTAGTGACAAGATGTGTTAGGGTGCACACAGTGACACAATGGGCTCTGCCACGAAGGACCAGGCAGAAGCTGTGCCACATAGAACATGGCCATGACCTCAGTGTAAGACCCACAGAGAACAGGTCTTGTTAATATGTGCGGGTGACAGTCCCAGTGGCTGCAGAATGTACCCTCAGGGACCTCCCATGTCTACCTGGGCCCCCTCTTGATGGCATATGAGCCTCTAAGATCTTGGGCTCCCCTAGAGGTTTAGCAACCAGCCCTACTTCTGGGGCAGAGTGTGAATTCTCAGCTTCCTTAGAAAGGGGAAGAAGGCAGGCAAGGGCCCGCTCTGAGGAGCACCAAACCAGGCTGAGTCAAAGGGTTGGGCAGAGAGGCCAGTATGCACACTTTCAGGGCAGGGCAGAGTGGTGGGCCTCACTCTCCCCACAGCGCCTCACCATCCCATCCGCAGAGAGAGAGAGAGAGGCCAGACTGCAGAGTTCGCAGTGCCTGGAAATCACAGCACACACCTTTATGGGATGGCAGATAAGGTCAGGGCTGTGTAGCCCAGCATCAACCGTCCGTACCCCCAATTCCATTCCTTTTCACTTGGAGCGCAAATGCCTGTCACCTGGCATTCTAGAGTCGAGGGCTCTGGCAAGCAGGTCTGTGCTGGCACTGGACACAGGATGCCTAGGGTGTCTCAGAGACTAGGGTGTGTGTGTGTGCATGTGCAAGTGTGAGAGAGAGCCAGCCAGCTTCTGGGCACATGCCCGGACCCCCAGTGTCTATGTCTCTGTGTGGCTGCACTTACAAGGTGGGGTACGTCTGGCTCACCCTGCATGGGCAGCTTAGGCACATCGAAATGAGCACTGTGATGTGGAGCAATGTCTCAGTGTCTGTGATCGTGTGGGCACCTCTCAGGAGCATGTGCTTGTTCGGTCATGTGTCACCTGGGTGGGTGTGGCATCTAGATCAGGTCTCTCTGCATGTGAGGCAGCCCTGAGGGCCTCCCTGCTGACCATGTGCGAGCAGCCATGTGCCCCATGTCCCAGAGGTCCAAGGCCCAGCAGCAGAGCAGGGGACAGTTCCATGGCATGACGACAGCTCGCAAGAGCAAAGAGCAGCTTGGGCGGGGGCTATCATCTGGGCACGTACTCCCTGGGCAGCCCAGCCCAGTTGTGGTCACGCAAGGCCTGGTCTACCGTCCGGATGTAGCCGTCGATCAGCTCTTTCATCTCGGGTGTGAAGGGCTCCGGGTCGCGCGGGCGCTGGCCGTGCCGCCGGAAGCTGCCTTCCTTGTTGTGCTCCACGCACAGCAGCCGGTCCTCGCTCACAGACATGTTGAGGAAGGCCACCATCGCTCGCAGGGTGGGCACGAGGCTGCGGCGCAGCTCCTCGTAGTGCACCACCAGCAGCCGCTTCCCGTACTTCAGCCAGTCCAGCACGTGCGAGGACCACCAGGACGCATAACTATTCACAAAATCCGGCCACTCTGCAGGGGACAGAGAAGGGACACGGTCACAGGCGGCCCTTTCACGGCTGCTAGCCCCACTGGGCCTGCTCAGGAGAAAGAGGCAGCAGGGTTTCCAGGCCCACTGCCCAGGGCCAACCAGCCTGGATCTCCATGGGTGCGGACTCCTCGGTGACTTAATGTGAATGATGGGTTAATGTCGGATTGGGCTTGGAGGAGTCCTAGGCTGTTAGAGATGACAACTTTGTGGCTGCCCTCCCCCAGCAGCATTTCATTGGAAAGGTATCAAGAAAAACATGGCCTGCTAGCGCAGAACCTCTCATCACTGTGTGCACTATGATTTCCTTAACCTTTGAGATTGCACCTGGGCAAGCAGGCCTGGGGTAGACCGGGGATCCAGGCCATCTTGGCACACTAGGATCTAAGGTGAGTGCGAGAGCTAAGCAGGCATCTCTTTACAGATGAACCACTATCACCTTCACCATGTCCTCAGTCACTACGTTTGTCTAAAGTTAAGGAGAGGGACACAGCCGGGGTTTTCTGCTGTCCCTTCTCTAGGGGTGACTTGCTTGGATCCCCAAGGAGCAAGACCATCTTGGTGACTGAGTAGTATGTGCCTGGGTGTGAAAGAGCTGCTGGGCCCAGTTCGGTTTTCTGTGCTGGGTTCTCCTACATCACACTGGGTGAGGTGGACGTGGTGCTGGATAGATACCCAGGGCATCTCGTGAGTTTCATGGACAGTTTGAACCCATGATTCTGCTGGGAGTTGGAACACACAGTGGAACCACAGACGGTGGCCTCAAACTTTAGCAAATGATCTTCTCCATGAGTTGCCTTTCCTAGAAAATTCAGAAATTAATTTTTGGAAGGGGTTGGGGTATAACTTGTTGAGAGTCATCATGGCACAAGAGTTTCTGTAACTGGGCTGTATATACCTCCAATGTTATGGTTTGCATTCTCTCATCTTCACCATCGCCCTATGATTCCTGAACAAGAGAGTGAGCCTGAAGGTGACCCTTGAGGGTCATGTGGCTTCCAAGAGGCAGAGGGGGAATGTGAACTCAGCCTGCTCACCCATGAGGGCACACTGCTTGCCACGGTCTCTGCATCTGAAGGTGAGTTGGCAAGGACAGGATGGCTGTGGGGGCTTGGTCGAGGTGGAAGACAATGGAAAAGAACTGGGTTCCAGCCTGGAACACGAATCAGGCCTCACTGCTGTAGCCTACCTGCATCTCTTCTCACCATCATCCTGCCATGATGCAGCTTGATTTCGGAGTTAAATCTACACTACTTACAGCAGACGAGTGTCTTTATTATTCACTCCCAAAGGCTGAACCATGTGTGCCTTGGATGTAGAGGCTCTTACCCTTTAGTTTGGGCCCTCATGCCCCACAGGGGGCCTGGTGCACAGTGGTACCTCAGTGACTCTAGGTTCATAGGCTCTGAATAAAGCTGCTGGAGAGAACAAGCCAATCTAACCGAGAATCAGGAAATCTGGATGTTATGGACAAAATGTAGCCCCTTGAATCTGTATGTTGAAACCCTCATCCTCAGTACGAGGGTATTTGAAGATGTGTCCTTGTGATCTGATTAATGTTCTTTTAAGAGCCATCAGAGGGTTTTCAGTCCCTGTCATGTGAGGACACAGTGATAGGGTGCTGTCTGCAATCTGGAAAGAAAGGCCTCGACAGGAACTGAACAGGCAGGCACTCTTGTGGCCAAAACGCAGAGTACTAACCACTATACGATCATGGCGAGCTACAGGGACCAGGCAGGCACTCTGGCCTTGGGTTTTCAGCATCCAGAACTGTGATGAAAAGTCGTCTGTTGCTTACATCACTTGATCTGTGGCCACCAGAGATCACTATAGTGAAGGGTCTGAGACCCAGGTCTGCTACGTGTGCAAGTCACACAGCTGTATCCTCTGGGTTCATCAGGAAAGTTCTGGATTCTTCTATGGGACACTGTGGAAAGTTCCTCAGGGGAGCGTAGGAGGGGCCTGGTATAATGAGCCCTGAGCACAAACTGGGAACATGCATCATCTTGCCCCATGAGCTGTTCTCTGTGGCTGTATCTCACGAGCTAGGAGGAAGCTGATCCAGGCAGGCGGTGGTGGAGAAAGCGTGACCACCTGTATAAAGCCAGAGCTCTTCTCCCAGCAATGTGTAAGCCCTTGGGTATGAGCAGGAGAAGTAAAGGGGCACAGATAATCCCACTACCCAGTTGAGGGGGTGGAAGACATTCTTGGCTATCAAGCTGACACCCATATAAGACACTATCATGCATGGAGTGAGCAGGCTTTGAAGGGATGGAGAAGAGGTGAATTCAAGCTAGGCACAGCAGCACAAGCCTCCAGGAAAACTGTGTGCTGACCCTGTGTGCCAGAAGGCATCTTGCTAGCACCCTGTGGCCCTGCCTGGCTGGTCCCCTGCTTACCTTTACTCTTCCAATTGTGGTCAGGAGCGTAGCCCAGGTGCCCAGCACATTTCCTGTTGAATTCGGCCACCAAGGACCTGTAGGGGTTCCGGATCAGCAGAATGGCTGAGTCGAACATCTCAATCTCCCTCTTGCCACTCTCGTGGGTCTTCACGCAGATGGTGCGCCGGCTCCGCCAGTGGTCCTTCTCACCCTTGAACCCTGTGCAGGAGAAACAAAAAGGTCCCCATAGAGGAAGTCGCCGCCGTTCCCATGGTTGTCCCTGCTTCCACAGCAGCAGGAGTTCTGATGCTGACCTACACAACCAGTAGGGGGGAAGTCAGTCCTGGGGATGAGAGGGCCAGGGATGGCTCAGTATCCATGGATAGGGCACAGGAGGTCTCCATGAGAGTGACCGTGTCCCAAGGAAGGTGGAGCAGGAAGCATCTGTGGGCAGGGCAAGATGACAGCTACAAGAGAAATAAGGCCACTCAGCCCATTCAGCCCCAAGGATCAGGAGGCAGAGAGCCTGACTATACCTTCTAGAGACATAGAAGATGCAGGCTTTTTGAGGCTTTTCATGGAGAGAATTTCACTAAGCATTCGTAGATAATCTCATGAGTTAAATAGCTGTAGGCACAACCAGATGAAGGGACTGAAGCTCAGAGGAAGTGTGTGACTAGCTGAAGATCATGTAGCACCACATAAACAGTAACAGAGCTCTCCTCATGTGCCGCTGTGTATCCCTGTGTATCCCCGCTTTCCACCCAACTTCCCACAGTGGGGCCCATCCTCAGGCTCAATGGCTAAAGGGCTAAAGGAGGGTGAGTCCCCACCCTCCGACTTTATGCTGTGTCCTATAATACAGGCCTATTGCATGCAGGGAGATTGCCCACCTTGGCTTGTGAAGCAGGTCTGGTTAAGGCTCCATCCATGGTATTTGGGTCTAATCCTGAGGAATGCAAGCCTAATTTCTAAGAATGGAAACTTACTCCCATTGACCAACTTCTCTGAGGTCTCTTTCCTTGGCCCCTTGGTATGGTACTGGGCACTCAGAACATTCATGACAGCCAACTGAGAAGACCAGACTCTATTTTCCATCCACGGAAGTGTGTATGATTTTGCAATATTATCAGAGGCTTGGACTTTAAACTGGCAGTGAAAGAATAAGACCCTGCCTTTAAGCCTACCTTCTAGTAGACAGATGGGCCATAGTACAGAACATAGGAGCAGACAGAGATGTACAGCAGGGGAGACCAAATCACTGGATGCCAGGGAGATCTATCTCCTGGCCATATCCTAACATAGCCCGTGCCATCCAGCTATGAGGACAAGCCCCATAAATGTTAATTAGCTTATTATCTTGGGCTTTTAGGAACAAAATGAGCTTTCCCATTCATAATCCATTAGCACACCTCACAGAACTAGAGAAACCATTCCTAAAATTCATTTGGAACCTAGAATAGCAAAAACAATTCTGGGCAACAAAGGCAAGGTGGGGGGGGTGGGGGGGTGGGCATCCTCACAATCCTTGACAAAATTATATTACGGAGCTACTGTGATAAAAACAGCATGGTACTGGCAAAAAAAAAAACCCAGACATGAGCATCGATGGAACAGATTAGAAGACACAGAAACAACTTAAAACACACCCTTATCTTTGACAAAAAGGCCAAACACCTTCACTGGAAGAAAGATAGCCTCTTTAATAAACGGTGCTGGAAAAGCTAGCTTTTCACATGCTGAAGACTAAAACTAGACTCATGTCTATCAGCATGCACTAAACTAGAATCAAAGCAGATCAATGATCTAAATATTAAAATAGAAACACTAAATCTGCTAGAAGTTACAATAGGTAGAACTCCTGAAGACACAGGTGTAGGCAAAGACTTCGTGAACAAAAAACCCTGATGGCACAAAAAATACCACAAAGAATCAACAACTGGGATCTCATCTTATTAAAAAACTTTTTACACAGCAAAAGAATCACCAACAGAATGAAAACACAACCCACAGAGTGGGGAAAAAATCTTAGCCAGCTGTTCTTCAGACAAAAATTAACACCTAGAACATATATAGAATTGGAAAAAACCAGATCCCCAAATATAAAGACGCAGTCCCTAAATTGTCACCTGAAATAAACGGACGCTTCTCAGAAGGTGTACAAATGGCAAATACACAGATGAAAACATGTTCAACATCACTGATGATTGGAGAGATGTAAATTAAAGCAGTACTTGAAAAAGGATCCTGTGAGAGCTTCTAGGCTCGCCGGCAACCTCGAGAAGTTTCTGTTTCTCTAGGATGTTACTGATGCTATTACTTTTTGCCAAGCAAAATCCTGATTAAAGAAATTGAGAGAAAATGCTCCAACATTAGACAACAGGGTAAAACATTTTGCCAACGTTAGCTGCTACTTGACTTGTTTGAGGCCTCTTGTTCTTTGTCTTTAAACAGTACACAGACTGGAGCCATTTACACTAATTTACTTGGCAAAGGAGACCTCTTATTTCTACAGGGGAAAGATTAGAAATCATAAAACTCTTAATGATTTTTGAACCTATTTAAATAAAGTTGTATTTTAATGAGCTAGTTTAATGAGCTAGCCCTTGCCTCAAAAAACAGGGGAAGGGTATGTAGATAGTGAATTTTGCTCCTAATTATTGAGGGTTTTAAAAATTAAGGAAAATACAAGAAATGTCTATAGAGGGGGCAATCCAAGTTGTTAGCATTTCCTTTACAATCTGGAACAAGCACTATTTTGTAACGTCCACTCAAAGTCCAATCCCAGGGCTGTTGTACCAACATCCCATGGAAACTTATAGAAATGCAAAATCCCAGATCCTGGGTCAAACTGAGTGATACTGGGAGTGTGGGCCAGGAATCTGCCCTCCAGAAAGCTCTCTGGGGGATCTTTAGGTGCACTAAAGTGTGAGAGGCACTCTGTAGTGAGTTGAGGAGGAAGCTGGCTGGTGAGCAGACAGTTGGGGTTCTGTGAGCTGCCCTGGGATCGCAGTCCTGACTCACCTTTGTTGTACAACGTTCCATCGAAGTAGTAGCTCCCTGTGTAGAAGCCCGTGGCGTGCTCGATGAGGTGCCTGGCCCACGTGTTCCCAGCTCCTGGGAAGCTTGATAGAGCCACAAACACCTTGGATTTGCTGGGAAGGAACCTCCTGTCTGTGCACCGTGTGTCTGAAAGTCCAGATGTCACTAGTTACCTTCATGATGACCCATAGATCCACCACTGGGCCTCCACCCCAGGACAAATGAGCTAAAAGTCCCATTTAATAAATGGGAAAATAGAGATCCAAAGAGGGGAAGGGATTTTTCACCTGTACCTTGGCTGCAAGGTCCATGCCTGGACAAAGAAAGCCCATGGCAAGTCTTCCCATAGCCCAGCAAGGGAAGGAATCAAGTGTACTAGGGGCCCTTGGCCTCCCCCCACACCCGTCTCTATGGCCACAGATGAACCCTGGCTCAAGCAGAGACAGCCTCAGATTTTGCTTGGGGAAGTGGATGGAGGTTGTGCCCAGCCACAGCGAGCCAGAGCAGGACTTATTTCAGGCACTCAGCGAGCGGCCACTGGCTTCAGGTATTTCAGACAAGTAACTCTCCGTGTTTTATTCCCTTCACCAGGACTGCTGCAAGACACACAAGAGTCACCAGGGCAAAGTCCCCCAGCCTTCCCAGCTGAACTGGGGCACATCAGGTTCTGGATAAAACTGGCAACATTCCCACTCACCTGCTCATCCTGGGCCTGCTCGGCCAGCCACAATGCTCCTACCCAGGAGGCCTACAGGCCTGGTGGCCCCTCTTCTGGCTAGGCCAGGCTTCACCCTTTCCATTCTCTCCACTGTAACGCATGGGGCTTCACACTGATACCATGTCCTGGCTTAGGACTGCACACTGGAACTTCCCTGACCTTTGAAACTCAAAGCCACATCCAGTGGTGGCTGCAGAGCTCACCTTGCACAGGGGTCTGGTAGACCTGGCAGTAACCAGCCATCCTCGGGTCCTCAGAGGCAGGGCCACACAATGCGCTGCTCACAGCATCCCGAAGGTTGAACTGGGGGGTAGGGTAGGCACAGTAGCACTCCCAGACCCGCAGGACGGCCAAGGGAAACTCCTGTCGGGAAGGAGAGAGAGCAAAGCATCACGGTGAAGGTGAAGGCCAGGCCTCTTGCAGCTCAGGCCCTGGGGCTGGACAGTCTGGGGGCAGTGGCTGTACTGGGTCAGTGGGGGCGCTCTCAGTCCTCCATATCAGACTCCATGTCCAAACCCAGGGAGGTAGAGCTCAATAAGACATCACTTTTGCTCCCCAGGAGCTCAATGCTGACCAAGGACAAGTCCGCAGCTACACACACTTGAGCAGCAGTGTAGCAGAAGGGTGAGTAAAGGAGAAGAACCTAAAAGTGGAGGGTAGACCTGGGCTCTGAGACATCTAGGGGCTCCACTTGGGAGGGAAAAGTTCCTGGGAAGGGCGCTGGCATGCCTGAGAGGACCCAGGGCAGCTCAAAGCTTGGTGTGTCACTCCTTAGTGACAGACCTCAAGGCCTGAGAGGGGATTAGAGTTTCCTTTGAACTCTGTGTCTAGTTCCCTCCAGGGAAAGGAGACCCAAACTAATCCTTGTGCCTGAAGCCCCACTGCAGGGTAGAGATGGAGCCCCACGCGGCCATCTTTCCAAAGAGGGAAGGGGTGGAGATGCGCATGCCTGGTTTCTACCTAAGGTGCTCAGAGACACGAGTGCATTGCAGGGAATGCCCTGAGAGCACTTGAGGGTCTCTCGGTAGGTTCTAGCTCTCCAGTGAGTGCTGATGAAAGCTGGGTGCTGACGTCCTGAGGGTGTGACTGCATTCTGGCTCACTGCCCAGCACTGAGCCTGGCACGAGGTAGGTGCTCCACAGAGGAAGGGGCCTTCCTCAGCCTCCTCACTCTTTTGGTACCAAACACAGCTCACCAAAAATGCATCTACTTGTGTCTCACGTATTTTTCTGAGCACTTACTATGCACCAGATACTTGGTAGGATATTTAGCCCCCTTCCTGCATCTTGCAACCCAGGGACACCAGGCCTCCTGAAGCATAGAGAGAGAGCAGTCCTAGGGATATGCGTGAGGGAGGAGGGAAGCAGCTGGTGGAGAAAGCTGCTCATTGCTGAGGGAAATGCTGCATAAACCTTTTTATTTTTTGCCCACAGCAAGAAACCTCATAAATAAATAAATAAAAGAAAATCAATAGCATTTTCTGTGTGCAGTGTGGTAAAGCTGAGGATCTCAGCACTCCCGTAACACAGCCACAGTGTCCCTGGAAGGGCGATGCAGAGCCTGGGGAGTGTGAGGAGCATCCCAGGAGAGTGTGCAAGGAAAGGATGATGGGTGCTCCCCGCCAAGGGAACGTGACCTGTAAATGCAGGGAGTCCTCTGCTCCATGCCTACCAGTCCCCAGGAAAGTGCCCCCAACCTTCCTCCTGCTTCCTGAATTCAGCAGGCCACCACTCTTGGGGTGAGTACACAAGAGGCTGCCCAGCTTCCGAGCACCTCTAACCAGGCTTTGAACTTGTGGTCCTCACCTCACTGCTCAACAGTCAGCAAACTGTGCCCTGACCTCATTGTAGACAATGCTGGTTTTCCAAAAAGCAGTTTCCTGCTGATGTGAGCACATGGAAAGCAAACCTGAGAACCATGAGCTCTGACCTCTGCAGCTCCACCTTTCCTGGCTCACAGAGACCCTTGCCTGGCTTCATCCACTGAAGGCCTAACCCCAGTATTTCAGAATGTGACCTGCTTTGGAAATAGTCTTTGCATTTTCCTCATTGTTGGAACAAAATACGCAATACCTACAATTTAAAAGAGGAGGGGTTTATGTTGGTCCATGGTTTCCCCTAGCAGGAACCGGATGCTAGAGGGAAAGAGGAGAAGACACTCAGCCCATGGCAGCCAGCAAGCAGAGAAAAAAGGGAGGAGCTAGAGACAAGAATGAGCCTTCCAGGCCATGTCCCCTATTATTCCCCCTTTGACCAGCCCCACCTCCCACAGGATACTCAGAAACCTCCACGATCCAGTCATCTTCCACACCCATGAGAGTTTTGGGAGGCATCTGAGGTCTAAACTATAACAAAGATCTTTACAGAGATAAGTAAAAGAAGTCATTACTCTTGTCTTGTGGAGAGGAGGTAAGAACACAGACAATCGGCAGACCTAGGGACAACCACATGAGGCTACTGTGAGAAGGTGATGATTCTCAGGCCCGGAAGAGATCTCAGGAGAAACGAGTCCTACAAACACCTTGACCTTGGACTTCCAGCTTCCAGAACTATAAGAAAGCAAATGTAATGTCATTGAAGCCATCTAGTCTACGGTGATTCGTTAGAGCAGCTTTGGATGCCCAAAACAATGCCTATCTTGCTGTTCCTGATTGCTATAGCTGAGGCCCACCCCAGGACCTTTACACATGCTCTCCCATCCTCTGTCCGGAGAGTTCCTCCCCCAGATATACGCACGCTCTCCTTACTTTCTGCAGCTCACCTCCGCCACCACCCATTTCCAAGTTATGATTCCCCTCCTACCTCCAGCAACACATCCTATTCTTTCAATGTATTTTCCACTTTCATGTAGCAACTTCATGAGTGAAATGGTCATGCTCAGTCTGCTTCAATGAACATGGGTCATGACAAGCAGCATTTCCGTTGGCCAGAGGTTCCTCCATCCCTTCCTCACTCAAAGCAACCTCTGTTCTGGTTTCTATCGCCACAGGTTAGTTTCATCTCTTTGAGGAGGCCACACAAATAGAATCACCCGGCATGTACTTTCACGTACTTGGCTTCCTTCATTCAGACAAACATTTGGTGGTTTACATACCTCTAGATCATGGCCTCTTACTGGTAGTAGTATTTCATGTGCCCATTCACTTGGTGGACATCTGGACTTTTCGCATGTTTCGCTATTGTGAAGAGAGCTGCTTTAAACATGCTGATACGAGGCTTTTGGTGGGTCAGTTTTTCACAGATAAACATCTACACTTCCTGCCTCATCTTTGTCCACTGCATTTATCACCACACAGCATGCTGTATGTTTTCCTTATTTATCTGTTTATTGTCTGCCTCCACCCACGCGGACTTTTTTTAGTTTTTTTTTTTTTTTTTTTTTTTTGGTACCGGGGTCGCACTCGCGACTTAGCGCTTGCCAGTTTGGCGCTTGCTTACACCTCTGAGCTAAATCACCAGCCCTACCCCCGCCTGCCCCACCCTTGAGGATTTTAAGTGGGGAAGGGGTTTTCACAGATTTTGTATGCCTTGCTGCAACCTCAGTATCCAAAACAGTATCTAACATGTGGCAGATGCTCAATAAATGTCTGACTGATGGACAAACGACTGGGTGACTGGATGCTTCCCAGAGCCCAGCTCCCTTGCAGGCTGGACCAGCAGCACACTTGGGTGCCATCTTTCTGCTGGTCGCAGGCTCTACAGCATCACAGCATGTGAGGGAGGGAGAAAACCCCCACAGCATCCGAGCACACCTTCCAGGTGGGGCTCTGCTGTCCTGGGGCTCCTGTTCTGAGGAAGGACGGCTGCCCAGCGTGGTAAGCATGCTCAGGCCATGCCCGCTCCCTCTCCCTCCCCGCAGTAACCGCGCTGTTGATGCAGCGGTTCATAATCTTATATCCCAAGGCTGCGGAATGGGCTGCCCCCACCAGTGACCCGAACCTTTTCTGCTTTCTTGAGTGGATTAAACTGTCAAGTTTCCGGGGTTTGCAGAGCAACGGGAGAGCTGCAGACAGTAATGTGGTTTTATTTACAACATAACTGCTTCAGCAACATCACTGGATTCTGAAAACACAGAACAATTTTCAGCCCCTTGGGGATTTCTAGGACATGATTTCCATAAAAATTAAATATTGATGAATCTTATCTCTCTGCCAACTTCCCAACTCCCTCCGCCTCCACTCCAAGCTTCAGTGAGAGAAAAAGAAAGAGGAGAGAAAGAAGAGAAAAAGGTCAGAGAGAAGAGGGCAGAAAAAGAAAGCATGCGTAGATGTGGGATTGTCCTCATCAAAAGAAGGGCAGAGCTCCATGGGGCTGGGTCAGCCTAAGCCTGGGGCAGAGCAGAGGTACTCAGGGCCTCGGCCAGGCTAGGTGTCCAGATGGGAAGTCAGGCGGGGACTGGGGAGGGCCGATGCTGACGCTGGGGGAACATCAGTCTAAGCCAGGTCACGACACTTTGAGGGTACGACTCTGTGTGTCATGGGGCCTCACATGCAGGGGTTTGGCTTATGACCAAGGGGTCAAGGCGTAAATATTTCTCTACACACAGAGCAAGGGACAAGGGAGACCCATTTGTATCTCCTCTCATTCATTTCCGTTCTTCCTTGAACGTTATTCTCAGAATCTCCAGCACTGGTTAGAATTGAAGAGATTGATTCAGACATCATAGAAAGGGAAACGGAGCCTTGAAAGCAAGTAGCCAACAGCCAAAAATCTCTAGTTTGGCAGTGAATGAGCTCAGAAGTCAGCCTTCTGGACCCCAGCCCAGGGCTTCACCTTACCAACTCAGCTCCTCAGAGACCACCCTACCTCTGTGCTGGGTTTCTAGTGAAATCTGCTTTCACTCCAGGGCAGAGCTAGACACTCAATGGACAAAAGGAAAGATGCTCACAAAGGTGACATGTAGAGGGAGGCAAAGGGACATACTTCTGCTTGCAGGGCAATGCCAGGTCGAAGGACAGCTCAGTCACTGATACCGTAACTGCAAGGTGTAGAGTGGTTGGCACTGGGCAGAAGAAAACAGCCCGATGCTTGCCATCGGGAGCCTTTGGTTCTGAACTCCATTTATGGACTCTGGAAAAGCTACTGGGTATCTCTGACCCTTGGTATATCATTTGTAAAAGGGGCATGGCAGTGATGAAGGGCTCCGAGGTCTACAGGCTGGGTTTGAATTTAGGTAGACTGATTTGATTCCTCCTTTCATAAGAGGCATTCCCGCATTAAAATACTCTCCAGGTGTCTTTCAGAGAGTAGCTACTCAGCAACTTGAACTATCTGAGTTGAGGGAGGTAAATGCATGAAGCTGGAGGCTTCCATCCTGTCACCCCAGCATCTTCTCTTCTTCACATACAGGTTTATTCAACAGAC